ATTTCCAGGTGGCAGGTCAGTCACTAAAATCCCCTTCACTCAGAGTGAGTCTGCATACAGCAAGCCGGTCTCTGCCTCTGGGCCCCTCTGTCCACACAGCCGTCCCACACAGCCCTCCTCCAGGCCTCTCTGCACAGTTGTCTCGCACAGCCGTCCTCCAGGCCTCTCTGCACAGTAATCCCACATAGCCGTCCTCTGGGCCTCTGTCCTCGGTGCTGCCACCACTCCAGCCTCTGCTCTGCTCTCCTGCAGCCTTGCAGCCCTGCCACCGTGTTGTGCTCAGTGCACTGGGCAGAGCTCTTTATATAGAGTCAACAGCCATGTATTGCCCACAAGTGTGCAGTGAGCTAGTCGACCAGGACAAGGTGAGAATCCTGGCCACAGGAACTCTCATTTTATCCACAACCCCAAAGAACATTTTGCTGTCAATTTCTTTGGTCACATTGAATCTATAGCAAACTTGCCCGGGGCTGAAACCCATTGGCAAGACAGCTACCTTCACACAGAATTAAAATTGGGGTAATATTAAAGACTGACTCAGTGGCTACTTTAGATTGAGTGATTAAAGAATGACTTTGTGCAGAGCTAACATTTCAACTAAGATGTAAATGACCAGAAGGGGTCAGCCAGGCAAAAAGGGTACGCTGGAAAGAGAAAACAACTACAGCAAAGGCCCTATAATGAGAACAAGCTTGTTATCTTCTAAGAAGGAGGAGGAGACTGGCTTGGCTGAAACATAATGAGCAAGTAATAGAGTAGAAGCAGAGAGCCCAGGGAGAAGGCTATTGCAGTAATAAGCCACAAGATGATGATGTCTCACAGGAGAATAGTATATCCAACCACCTAGAGGTCATGTGTTAAGATGTCCCAGAGGCACCTATTATTAATTAAGTCCAAAACTGAATCATCTTCTTCTTTTTAAAATATACTCTAGCTGTGGTATTCCTAATTTTAGAAGTCAATGAAATAATCATCTACACAGTCACCCAATCCAGTAACCTGGCACTGTCCTTTACTTGACCCTCTCCTTCACTCCCCTAATTCGATCACCCACAAATCCTCATTATACAGCTCCTAAATCTTGAATTCATCTACCCCTTAAAAAGATCATTGCTATTATCCTAGCCCACTTGTATTACAGCTCAGTCTCCCTTCTTTGCAATCTGTTTTGCTATCTGAAACTACTTATCTTTCTAAAATCTTCAATCTGCTCGAGTACTTCTACTTAAAAGTACTCCAATATATTTCCCATCACCTACAAAACAAAGTCCGAAGTCCTGAACAAGACCTTGATTTTGTCTACTCTTACCTCTTGAGATTTATCCCTTGTAATTTCAAAATTATCAAGCCTACCACACCAGGTCCTCTACCCACTAGTCTAGTCACACTAACTTACTTGCAATTTACTTTCTTTCTCTACCATTAATCACACCAATACCTACTCTTCTTTCAGGTACCTAATTAGGTATCTTTTCCTTAAGGAAACCTTTCTCAACCACTCAAGACTCATTCTGGTGCCCCTTCCATGAGCTCCTGCAGCACAGAGCATTTCCTCTATTACCACACTTACTGCACAATATTATGTTTGTTTGCTTCATTTTCTGTTTTAGTAATAAATAGAATATAAATTCAGAGAGTCATTCTCATTGCTGTCCTATAAAAAGTGCTCAATATATACTTCTAGAAAAAATGAATAAAGAATTTCTTTGTAATGCTGCACAGCAGATTAGATATTCTGAAGAAAATCTTTTGAAATGTCTTGCTAACCTAGCAGAATAGGATCTGAAGGGGGCAAAAATGAAGGGAAAGAAAGACTTCAATACAAGATTGCTAGCTTTTCCCTGATAATTTCTGTTGAAGCTTATACTCTGAGCTTCTACTTTCACAGCTGCATGGGGCCTGGGAGGCCAGAGAAAAAGACTAGGTTCTGCTCCTTCCTACACTGCTGGTGGGAATATAAATTGGTTTAAGTGCTGTGAAAAGCAGTATGGAGGTTCCTCAAAAAAATAAAAATAGAAATACCATTTGACCAGTGATTCCACTCCTAGAAATTTATCCAAAGAAAAAAAAAATCCCTGATTTGAAAAGATATATGCAACCCTATGTTTATCACCACATTATTTACAATAGCCAAGATATGGAAGCAACCTAAATGTCCACCAATAGATGGATGGATAAAGATGTGGTTCATATGCACAATGAAATATTATTCAGCCATAAAAAAAGAAAACAAATCCTGCCATTTGTAATAACATAGATGGATCTAGAGGGTATCATGCTCAGTTAAATAAGCCAGGCAGAGAAAAGACAAATATCATATGATTTCACTTATTTGTGGAATATAAAAACAAAGCAAAACCGAATGAACAAAACAGCATAGACTCACAGACACTGAGAAGTGACTAGTGGTTGTGATGGGGGAGGGGTTGGGATGGGTGGGTGGCGAGGGTAAGGGTGATAAAGGGGCAGTAATTCACAATCACAATATAAGCTAGTCACTGGTATGATAGTAGAGCATGGAGTATACAGTCAATGATTTTGTAACATCCTTTTATGTTGAAAGATAATAACCATACAAGAGGGGGGTGAGGATTTAATAATATGGATAACTGGTGAACCACTGTGTTGTACATCTGAAACCAATGTAAGATTGTGTATCAGTGATATTTCAATTAAAAAAAAAAAAGACTAGGTAGGTTCTGCTCAAGATGGGGAGTCTAATAGGGAACACCCAGAAAAAAAACTAAGCATCTGGTATAATTGTGACCTAGAAAAAATACACACAGAAGGGAACAGCAAAGGAGGATGTCTACTGCTACTTTGGTGTTAAGTAGTGGAGAAGAAAAAAACTCCACTGAAACTCAATGATAAGTCAATCCTCGCAAGTTTGCTGTAGAATTCATGCTACCATCTAGTGCTGTCAAAAAAAATCTAAAGTAGAGAATTTAATTTAATGTAGTCCCAAGCTGTGTCCCCAGCAGCTAATAAAGATAAGAGTAAATTCTCTATTGACTGCATCTTAAATCCAGAGACATCAAATAGTCCCAAAATGTAAAACTGCATGAAAAATGACCAACTCTCAGTTAAAAAACAGAAATATCACATCATCAATGACAGTAAGAAACACAGGAAAAATATAGTGAGAACCAAAAAATTTCAGATAGCAGAATTTTCAGTTACATAATATAAAACAGCTATATTTAATATGGCTAAGTAGTAAAAAAGAAGTTTGAAAACAATCAAGGAACAAGAGACCAACAAAGAAATGTGAAAAGTAAGCAATTCTAGACATGAAAAATATAACCATTGAAATGAAAAACCCAACATATATATATATATCAAACAGCAGACTAGAGGCAACTGAAGAGGAAATTAGTGAACTAGGTAGACCCAAGGAAATAATCAAGAATTTAGGCCAGAAAGATAAAAGAAATACAAATTATGACAGAGTCTTAGAGATAAGGAACAAAGCAAGAAGATATAACATAATTCTAATTAGAGTTCCAAAAGGAGATAAAAGAGAAATAAGAAGAAGTAATTAATACTTGATGGGATAATGATAGAGAATCACAGAATTCTACCGTTGCAGAAAATTACCAATTCTCAGATCCAGCCCAATAAATCTCAAACAGGATAAATATAAAGAAATACACACTTGGTCACTTCATAATAAAACTATAGTTAACACCAAAGAAAAAGACTTTCAAAACAAAGTCAATCAAATAAAAGAAAAATGCAGTCAAACAGAAAACACAGGAAAACAAAGGCATAACATCTGACTTCTCAACAACAGAAGCCAAAAGACAGTAGAACAGCACCTTAAATACGCCTTTACCATAAGATCTTCACCTAGGATGCACATCAGACAGAAAGATTAGAGAAATAAGAATAGGTAGTTAACAAAGATTTCTAGATAAATTTAAACAAATAACAATATATATCTTAAAGAAGATAAATAACAGACACAAAATACTAGCCAACAAATAGCAAATAAGTTGGGAGGGCATGACTAGAGTTAAAGTATTATACGTTCTTTGTATTTTTCAGAAGGAAAGTAAACTTTTCAATTACCTTTAGACTTTGAAATACAGACACAGAGTACATAACTTGCAAACAAGTGTGGGTATGTGTGGTATGTATAGAGGAAAAGGGATAATGGAATGAGAAAAAAAAGAAATTTAGAAGGCAAAAATAAAATAAAATAAAAAAACACAAGGAAGCTCATTATACAATGGCAGATATATATGCCCAAACATATCAGTGATTACAATAAATGTAAACAAAGACTAAACTTCCAGTTAAAAGACAAAGGTTATCAAGTTAGGACAAAAAAAAAGGTTCAAGTCAAAAGATTATACCAGGCAAATACTAAAGAAATCTGGTGGAGATGTCACTTAAAAAAAAAAAAGGAATAAGTTACATAACAATACAGATATAATTCTTCAGTGTTACGTAATAACTCTAAATGTAATACATTTAATACACAGCCTCAAAATATATAAAGTGAAATTTTAAGGGATTTTTTAAAAATAAGGAACAACTGTCAAATTTGCCATGATACCAAAGCTACAATGGCTCAAATGCCTACTTTAGAAAAGAAGGCTCAAAATTAATGAGCAAAATAGCTTACAGTTAAAAAATGAGTAAAGGACAGAGAAAGTAGAAACTAGGGTATAATTAAGGTAAGAACAGAAGTTAATGAAATAGGAAACAAACATACAATATGAAGGTTCAAACTAAAAAAAAAAATCATTACTTGGAAAAATAATAAAATGGCCAAAGCTCTGGCAAAATTATTCAAGAAAGTAAGACAAACACCATTAGGAATGAAAAATAGGATGTCTACATATGCTACTAAGAATATTTAGAGGATATCATGAACTTTATGCCTATAAATTTTTAAAAGTTAAGTTCTATCAAACATGGAAGAAACAAATAATCTTATGCAAACCATTCCAGTGTACAGAAAAAAAATGATTTTTTAAAAGATTTATACATACCTGTTTCATCAAATGATGGCATTTGATGAGTTTGTGAACCCTGTCCTTCTTTCTGAACATTTGTGGAGTACAACTTTACTTGACTCAGTGTAAAAGTATATGAGTGACTACAGGGAACCATGTTTGAAAAGCTTCCAAATGTCACTGAATTCTGCCATTCTGAAAGGAAAAAAATTTTAATTTCAAATAAACTCACAATAAAGATTTTCATACCCAATAACACACCTACTATGATTAGAAAGAGAATAATTTTACAGGATAATAGTGAAACTTTCATTCTGCTAGATAATCAAATGCATAATGTCAAGTCGCCCTGTCCATTGAAGTGTTTAATTGGCCCTAGATGTACAGGTAATATATTTTGTAAAGAAAAAGTAAGGATAATACTATTTTCTCTAGTTTGTAAATTTATTTGTATGGAAACTTTAAAAATATATAAAATTATATAAAACATTCATATTATTCAACTATTCTGAAAAGTCTCTGGCATATAATAATCTATTTTGTATGCTGGTTGCATACTAAAAAATGCTGGCATAATGAACTTTTCAGAACAGAGAACTGAAGGGGGGGAGGAGGTCAGGGGAACTACCTACTCAAAATTACCCTGTCCTCCTGCTACCTGGAAATTTATTCCTCTTTCATTTCGCAATCAATAAGTGAATTATATTAATCAGTTATTCATACTGTCATTGACTTTTTTTTAAATGAGATAATTAGATCAACATTCGCTGAGATTCCTCAGTATATGGGAATTCCAAGTGAGGGAAGAATAGATGACTAATTACAAAGCACTTCAGCTGCACCATCTGGGTTGACTGTGCAATTTGGAGGGTTGAAATATTGAAGAAAAATATATCCCATTTTTGCACCAAAGTGCTAGAAAAGCAAACCTGTCTCTTTTCATGTGACCCTCTTTCTCCATTATTTTTTACTCTGAGTACTTAGAACTCAAAAATCTTGTCTAGATATAATTTACATTATTTTTTAACTTTTAGGTGAAATAATGAAATTATATCATTAGAGACAGTCAAATTTTCTAAAAGTTGAGAGTTAAACACTTAAGAATTGAAACTTTTCTAACTGCTTAATAATCATATCCCAAAAATGTTAATTCATGTACATGCATGTGCAAATATATGCCTTCTGAAATCAAGAAAAACAAACCTTTTCTCAGTGGCTCAGAAAATCCATCAGGAACAAAGTTATTGTGAAGGAAGATAATTAGAAAAGCATGAGGGACAGTAGGTAGTATTCACTCAAGTTTTAGGCTTGAAACTTGTTTTCCTGAAAAACTTCCTGATGTCAATTTACTCTTCCATTTATTTGGCAAATAATTATTGCAGGCGCATTATGTTTTTGGTCTATTTGCTTCTACTTCCTAAAGGCTGAGTAAAGCAAATGTAATAATTTATCTTTTTGCACATCAAAATATGTAGCACACTAGTAAAAGTAATTAGTAAAGTAAGGGCTAAAACATTTTCACCTAAGAAACCCTGCCCTTCAGGGGAGCATCTTCTTCACTAGGCCACTAGTGTTCTAACTTGTCAGCCCTACTGAAAATATCTTTTGTGATTATTACCTAACAAAGACAAATGCTGCCAACACTTTTTTTTTCACTCACTGATGAATGCTTTTATAGAAATTTTGCTAAGGTGTTTAAAGAGGAATTACTTGCCAGCCTAAAAATTCCTCCTCAGATGATCACTGATAATGTTTCAAGTACTTGATCCTAGATTTTTGTCAAGGTTCCCTTAGTTCTTAAAAAATTTTGTTACAGAAAATTTCAAACATATGCAACAGGAGAAAAAACAGCACAATAAACATCCAAGTATTCACTGCCCACCTTCAACAGTTATCAAATCATGGTCAACCTTGTCTCATCTCTTTATGAACTAGTATCTCCTTACCCCCTATTAATACAAATCTCAGACTAAAATAATTTCATTCACAAATATTTCAGTATGTATTCTGAGACAACTTTTAAAAACGGCCACATTACCATTACAAATAAAAAATAGTATTTCTTATTATTAACCAAAATCCTCAATTTCCAAATTCCAGCTGTTAACAAGTAATTTTTGTGTGTGTAAACAAATCCTAATAAGGTCCAGATACTATGCTTAAGATGTCTTTTAAGCCTTTTTTAAGCTACAGGATGTCTTTCTTTAGAGCTATTTTTATATTGAAGAAACCAAATTATTTGTCCCAAAACTTTGTCCTAATAGTTTCCAGTCTAAATTTCACTGATGTAATTCTCATGGCATTGTATAACCTGTTCTTCTATATGTTCTATAAATTAATGGATGTAAAGGCTTTATCCAAATTCAGGTTCTTTTTATAGAACAACACTACTTGTTAAGTGGTGATGAGTTCTTTCATTTGAAGCTATGTAATATTTGGCTGTCCCTGTGATAGTGTCTGCTGTTGGGTCAATGCCTAGAACCATTTATTCATTAGGTGGGTGTTTACAAAATGGTGATATTCTAATTTTATCACTTCTTCACTTAATAGTCAGAGTACTTCTATGAAAAGAAAATTCTCCTTGTTCATCTGATTATCCAGCAGTATAGTTCATACAGGAAAGTTTGGCTAAATGCTCAATACTTTCCTTTTATCTACCAGTTTGCACAATAATGAGTTTACTACCTACTATTCTGCAGTAGTGACACACTAATTTATGTGTGTGTGTTGCATGATTTCATAGATTTAATTATTATTTTATTGTATTTAACCCATTTTAGCATTATCCTAATTTATGCTCAAAGTGCCCCATTTTTGGCCATTAGGTCTCCTCAAATTGACTCCTGCATCCTTTTAACATTATTATATATAATCTTTGATAGCTTCCTTGCTAGCTGTTTTTTGAAAAGTCTGTAATTTTAACTTGGGGAGAATTTCAGGTATCAGCAACTTTAAAAGTACATATTTGGCATTAATACAACATTGAAAATTGCACAGAACTTGCAGGATACACTATTACCTTTAACATTTTATATTCTTAAAAATATAAAGGACCACATTTGATTCAATAAACCAAATACCTAACACGTAGCAGTAGAAACACAACCATCTGTTGAATAAATTATTGAATAATTAATTCTAGGAGACAGAAGATAGTAAAAAATGCTACCCACAACTAAAACCCTTTCTTCAAGGTAACTTCTAAAATAACCTATATATGGAAGACAAGTCTTTAGTTTGGCTCACTGTTCAATGGGCCTGGACAAGGACATTCTCATTGCTGTATATTTAGCTGTTTCTTCATCAAGAATGCAGAGTTACTGGTATCTTATCAGTTTAATCACAACAATCACTCTTTTCTGCTCTTATTTTACTGTTCCTGCCTCTAGCACCTAATGACCCCTACTAGTGATCATCACTTGTCCTCTCTCTCCAGTCTGGTTTGTCACCTACCACTCTGGCCTTTTGTCAGACTACCACAACAAACAACACAAGATAGTCTTTTTCTCCCAAGTAAACTGACAATTCTGTCTACCGTTTATATTGCTTCTGCAATAACAGTAACTAAGAACAAAAAGATTGCTCGCAGTTTGGAATGTTTTATTTCTGGCTAATTTCAGGACCAGAGTCAAACTTGCAGCCTAAGTCTTCCAGAGGTTAGTCTCTCTTTAGGGACGATTTCAGTTGTATTTTCCTCAAGATTTCTACTGCACTGACATATTAAAAACGAAATCACTGTCACACTTATTTTTAAAGAGGTTAGTGTAAATTTAAAATGGACAATAAGCAGAATAGGCAGCAGCTTTTTGGGTCCATAAAGTACACAATAATACAGAATTCAAAAACTGTTCTTCATGGCATCATTTATCACAGCAAAAACTGTAAACAACTTAAATGTTCCTCATAAGTTATGAGAAGTTCCTATATTTTCATTATGTATACATTAAAAATGTTTAGTAATGTGAAAAAAACCTACAATGTTGCATGAAAAGCAGGAGAAAACAAGGCAGTATAACAACTATTAAAAATCTGGTGAAAAATCTGGATTATGCACAATTTTTACTTTATATACTTTGCTATATTTAAAAAAATGCCTAAAAAGCTAAAAATATACTCATTGCTAACTTACTTCTAATATTATTACTGCTGATTATTAACACACTATCTCTAGTTCACTTTTATGCTTTCGGCTAGCCAATACTGCAGAAAAACCCCTTTTACGCCTAATCATCCAGCAAGCACAAGTGTGACCTAGACAGCAGCTCAGCCTAGAAGACTACAGCTGATGTGATTTTTCTCCCTGACCTTCACCTGGCTTACCCATTTTCATTTTTCATGCCTTGACTCAGTCACACCCCCTCAGAAAAGCAGGAGTTCCAGGCCAACAAATCAAATGAAATGGCCCCTTCTCACCTTGCTTCTTTCTCTCATAGCATTTAGATGTTTCTTCATTCCTAGTGTCTGCCCAATAAATGTGCACTGTCTTGTTCAGCACTACACCATCAGCAACTACAATGCCTGGCACCTCTTTGCTGAATGATTCTCACTCACTAAAACTCTAAGGCACATACTATGATTAGCCTCATTTCAGTTAAAAATTCCATCATTAACTTGAATGACACAGAATCATGCTCTCACTTTACCAAAATGATCTTTAATTACTGTCAATGTTCCTACTAGTTATATAAAGAGGGGTGTGAGTGGAAGCTGGGGACAAAAGCTAATTCCCACTTCACTTTTCTTATGGTAATACTTTCAGATTAGGGACAGGAATAAAATACAAGGGTTTAATTTCAATATTTTTATTTTTAAACTACACTTTTAATTTGGTGTATAGCATGTTAATTTGATATATAGAATTTAAAGGAGCATCCTTCATCTCAAATTTTTATCAAATGGGGCAAAGCACAAATACATGAAAAAATAAGTGCTCTATGCAAAGACAAAGGAACTTAAAAAAAGGGATATGTTACCCAAGAATAGACTAACAGCTACCAAAGGGAAAGGGACTGGGGAGGATGGGTGGAAAGGGAGGGAGAAGGGGAAAAAGGGGCATTATGATTAGCACACATAATGTAGGGGGGGTGCACAGGGAAGGCAGTATAGCACAAAGACAAGTAGTGATTCTATAGCATCTTACTACACTGATGGACAGTGACTGTAATGGGGTATGTGGTGGGGACTTGATAATGGGGGGAAGCTAGTAACCACAATGTTGTTCATGTAAGTGTATATTAATGATACCAAAAAAAATAAAAATTAAAAATTAAAAAATTTTTTAAAGGGATATGTTTACAAAGGAAACTAAGGTTTTTATAATTCAAAAGTATATGTTCATTATAGATCACTTAAAAAATATATAATGAAAAAAATTTTTCTAGAAAAACTTTTATCACAGTATATCTTCTTACCAAATTTTTTCAAGTTTTATGTAATAGCACATCAAGAGATTTACCCATGTCACTATTCTTCTAAACTTTTTTTTAAATGGTTGCATATATTAACAGCCCATATGTACAAAAATATATTTCAATTTCCAACTCTTCAGAACTATAAGTGTTGCCAATTTATTACTTTCAATAATCAACTTGTGCACACATTTTAATATGCATCTGATTATATATTTTTTAAGTAAGTCCCCTGAAAGAGAATCGTTGGGTCAGAAAGCATAAACCTTTAAAGTTCTTTTTACACAAAGAATAACTGACCTCCAAACACTGTTCAACTACATGTCCTAATCAGTAGTAAGAGAGTCCCTGCTCTCCTGCACCCTCAATCTAGAGTATCATTATGAAAAACTTCACCAATGTGAGACACACAATGAGTATAAACCCTTTAAACTTACATTTGTACACTTATAAGTGAGTATGGACTATTTTTGCATGTATATTGGCCACTTCAATTCCTTTATGAACTCTGTATGCATTTCTTTTGCCCATTTTTCTACTGGAATGTACATGGTTTGCAAAAATTCTTTATAAATTAAAATACAAACTATACACTAACAGACCAATACAGTTGTCACTGTTTATTAAGCACTAGAAATGTGGCTAATCTGAACTAAAGTGTGTTGTAAGTGTAAAATACACATTAGATTTCAAAGACTTACTACAAAAAGACAATGTAAAATGTGTCAATTTTTACACTGATCCCATGTTAAAATATTTTGAATATACTAGATAAAATATTAAAATTAATTTTATCTCTTTTACTTTTTAAAATATGGCTATCAGACAACTCAAAATTATATATGTGGCTCACATACTTCTTTTGGACAGTGCTGCTCTAGAATATTGTTTTCCTTTTCACCTTTAAACTGAGTTTTCAGTGTTAGTTGCACATGCAGTATGCAACTAAGTATATATACTTAAAACATTTCTCAGTTTTAAGTATATATACGAAGCAAGTGTTTCCCTCAAGGTTTTCTTCTCTCATTCTTTACAAGTTTTTCCCAGCCACACAAGAATTTTAAAAGCATAAACTGAACTTTATTCTGTAACAAAGAAAAACATCTGGTTTTAGAATTTTTTCCCAAAAGTTCTCCAAATACTTTTCTTTTTATATGCATCCAAAAATACTTTTTCTAAATGATTTAAAAATTTACCATAATTACAGATGTCCTTTTATGAACTGTTTCAGTGTTATTAAAACTAAATTTTGACAAACAAGGTTCTTTTTAAAACCTACTGTTTAAAGTGTGAAACACACTTTAATTTTGTGGTAACAGTTCTTTTTAAAACCTACTGTTTAAAGTGTGAAACACACTTTAATTTTGTGGTAACAGTCTAAATAACTCTGCAAAGTTATTATGACTAGTTAGATAATTATCATCCGTGGTTCACAGATGGATGAAACAAAAAGCACATCATTTTTGACATGATGACTGCTACAGAGAACAGGGATTAAACTACGCCATTTCAACTCCTTTTTCACCAACACTTAAAGGGCAGTTTAGACTAAATTTGATGGTCACTACACCTAATTTAGGTGCGAAAAGCCAAAATTGCTTGGTCAACCAAAGCAACTATGCTAGAAAGTTTACTTTTAGGGATTCTACAGTACAGATGATTATATTTCTAATTTAAGAAAACTCAACAACGATACTTTTCTATTACCACCAAAAAGACCCAATAACAGCGCTGTTAAAATTAACCTTTTGAAATTTTAAGAGCTAGTTGTTACACATACTGCAAATAGAAGGTACGAGTATTTTCTTATTTGCACAGTATAGGCGTTATTTGACCTTATGTTACTTAGAAACTTTAATGACTTGACTACAACCTCAAAGTTCTACTGCGAGGTCACAAACATGATTCAAGTCTTTTCAAACATGAATTTTTGGGAAATGTTTCTGTAAATACTCTGCATCCACAGGAATTAGGGAGGATTGGATTAGGTGTGGATTTGGTTCTGTCTTCTCCTTCATTGTTCCCATCAGTTCTGAACTTTCAAGCTCTGGCAAGTCAAGCTCTGGCAAAAAGGGATACAAGCCTGATTAAAACTTAGAAGCTCAATGTTTTTGGAAACCGCTGGACAATTAAATTTGCATCAGAAAAGCAGATTAAAGAGGGCTAAAAATTTCGTCAGCCACCCTTTTCTGGGTTACAGCTCCAGTGGACATTTTTTTCGCTAAAAAGCTTATTCAACCTACCTGAAGAGTTGTTTTGGTTTGGGGATTTTTTTTCCGTTCCAAAGATGGGCTCATTTAGTGTGACATGGTTATACCCTCATACTTAAGAATGATTCGTCAATGCTGAGTAGCACGCCCCTTTATCCTTTTAGGGAATTTAATAAAACACACTGACTATGAGAAAAGCAGCAGGGCAGGAATATCTACTCGGCCATAGTGCGAAGGTGAGTCGGTGGGCTCAAATGCCCCTTGAACTTTGGAGAGTGCACAATTTCTCATTGCCAGGAGTGAAGGAAAGGACACCGGATGACATCGCGATGCGCACGTAACCTAACGTTAGGTTCAAAGTGGTTGGCTCCGTGGAAGCGTCCCGGCCCAAGAGCTGCCCGCAAGTTTCTGCGGGAACTGTCCTAGGGCTACATTCGAAACCAGGGTCTGGAAGGCCTGTCAAGAGACCCCGCGGGCTGGGCTGAGCCGGATGAACTGAAAAGGCGGAGACTCGAAAGGTTCAGGGTATGGGTAAGGGCAAGCGGGCGTACTGCCCGAGGAGAGGCGCCGAACGCCCACCTCGGCCGGGTCCTCCAGGCCGACTTCCTCGGACTCAGCGGCCGGAGCGGGACACTCACCCTGGCGGTCGCTGGAGCCGAGGACCGCCGCCCTGTAATGCAGACGCAGCCGGCACAGGAAGGACCAGCTACATCTGTGGGCCGCAGCGGCGGCGGCCAAGCCCGGTAACATCCTGGCGGGGAAACGGCCCCCAATCGGACACCGCCTCCTGCCTCCACGCCGTCGCCAGCACCAACTGACTCCATAGACAGAACACCTGCTAAAACCTAGGCCGGCGCCGCCAGAGGCGGCCTTGGCGACCCGGAAATGGTAACATCATTTAGCGACGCCAGCCGCGGCGACAGCGGAAGTGGTGTGGAGCCGTGCGCGAATGGCTGGGCCTGGCTTCTGCTGACCTGGACCGGGCACGTAGGGCGGGGGCGGGGCCGCAGGTGGAGCGAAGTTGTCCTGGCCTTGCTTCTTAGCGGACATCAACGCGTGAATTGTGTGCATCTTAACAGCAAGGAAACCCTTGGGAGAAGTGATAGCCTTTTGGGCATCTGCCTTTTTCTTTCTATTTCCTGGTCTCTAATGGAAGAGAGGTTAGAAGAATGCTGGCCTCTGGAGCCTCCAAGCGGCGGCTAACGTGTGCTAAATAGCCACCTGAAAGTTAACACAGCACGTCGTTCTTCTAACACCATTGTGTAGACAGTCCGCGAAGGCAAGTACCCACTTCAGAATCAGTTACTTGCCCTGCTAAACTCTAAGCCTCAGATTCTCATCTATAATTTAAGACTTACATATGTTCAAATTTGTCTAGGTAAACAGACGTGCAGACAACGGAACAGGAGTCAGTCTGGCCCCAGAGAGAAAGAGACCAGAAGACAATTCGCTGTGGCGTTAACTTTTATCTTTGACACGCTTATTCAGGTCGTAGCCCACTCATGAGAGGCCTTCCTTGACTACCCTAAATAGAGTAGACCTGGTTATTCTCTATTCGTTACCCAGTATACTTTTAATCAAAACCCTCATCACTGTTTGAAATTATGTATTAATCTTTTTCATTTTCTGTCTCAGAAAATAAGCATCGTGACGCTGGAATCTTGTGTTTTGTACATTGCTGTTTCCAAGGGGCTTGGCACAAATTAATTTAGTGGAATACATGGTGGTTTGTTTTAAAACTAATGAGTCGTTTAACTATATTACTATAAAATAAGTATATCAAGGGGAAGTAAATTAGCATGTTCCTAATTAGCACAGGCTTTTATGCCAATGTAAGTATAACCAGATTAGTGAGGTAATAGTGATTATCACAAGAATGGTAAGCAACTTTAACTTCCATTGGCAGTTTAAAACATTAAAAGGACAAACGTTAAGAAATGACATTCTACATATATTCATAACCTCAAGATTACTCAAATCTCAAAACTACTGGAAAGTTCCTATCCCTTACTTTTAAATAGATTCTAACAAATTCAACTTTATATGAAAAACATAAAAGTTTAACTCTAATTATATGATAACTATGTAAATATCCATTAGCCTTTGCTATAATCCTAACCTAAATACTTCGGATTCTGTTATCTTAGTCAAAACTGATGTAGGCTTTTTAGGGTTTATTTTTATTATGTACAATAGTATTTTAATTTTCTTTTTGTTCATATGTATTTTCTAATCATTCTTAGAGGAATATTCATGCCTTTCATGATAAGAAACTTTTTAAAATACATTTTTGCAGGTTAAAATAATTTTAATGACACAGTTGTGTGACGTGTTGTACATAATGTTCGTGCATAGTACATTTTCACCAGGTGTTTTTTCCTACCCTCCTTTCCCCTGATATAACTGTTGTGTAACTTGAAATATATTAATTTTGATAAACCTCCAGAAGCCTTGACTTGCCAAGTAAGTTTGAGGAATAAAGTGGGACATGGTGTGTTATCTGTGTTATCCTCACAATGCTGTATCACATAAGGTCTTCATGGACATGGATTCAAATACTTAGGCAGTTGCCTTGGTGTTTGCCCCTATTTTGTCGTGATATACTGTTCTGCTGGATAGTCCTCAAAATTTCCCCAAGTGCTGAAAATTTAAAGCAGTGTCAGTGTTAAGAGTTCCTTAGGAGTATTTACCCTTTGACCCTAAATTGAGAAATTTCATCCTACCAAGAGACTTGCTTATTATTATTGCTCTACTTGAGACACATTGAGCATCTGCCTGTAATATACTAAGCAGGGCATGGTGATTAGTGTTACTACTAATAATACTACTATTAGAAATTATGTGCTTATTTGTTAATTTTCTGTCTTCTCTAGCTGTTTGCTCACAACTGCACGAACATTTGCTGTCTTTTTTTAATCTTAGTCATCATGGTTAGTATGGAGTGGTATCGCATTGTGGTATTAATTTGCATTTCCTTGATGATAAATGAAGCTGGATACCTTTTCAAGTGTATACTGGCCACTTGGATATCCTCTTCATATCCTATTCAGGATGTTTGCACAGTTAGTTTGTGCTTTTCTTATTGACTTCTATGAGCTCCGTTCTGGAAACAAGTCTTTGTTGGATATATGTATTACAGATATCTTCTTCTACTTTATGAATTGTCTTACCATTTTCTTAGTGTTGTATTTGTTGAAAGGAAGTTCTTAATGTTAAATTATTGATTTGTCCAGATTATCAACCTGTTTCATTAATAGTTAAATGTGTTTTGTGTTCTGTTTAGGAAATGTGTACCTATTTTATGGTACTTGCAAAGTTTTGTGATGTCTTCAAGAAGAGAAGACTGGTATTTCCACCCCCAGTTAGATATTTACTTAGCCACCAAGCTTAGTGACCTGTCCCAGTGCTATGAATTTAGAGGAAATTTTGAGCACTAGGGAGAAATGATACAGACAGCAGAGAAAATTTCTGTGATCAGACTTTGGATCCTGTCTGACCCTACAGACCTCAAGCTGGGATCATAGAAAGAAAAGGAGATTAAGACCTATAGACTTTCCATAGAACACCACACATGGGTCAAGAGATATGTATCAGATGAATGTAATACACTACTGCCAGCTAGGCATCAGCTGACAGTTACAGCAGGTATTGCAAAGAGCTACCAAAGCATGGGGGCAGCTTGGGACTGAGTTTCTCAAGGGGGCCTGTTGGGATCCCCATGCATCCTCACTGACAATGAGCTAAGTAATCCATAATGACCTACAGAAAGGAAACAGCAACCTTACCACACTCAGGCACTTAAGATACTGCTGTTTTCCTTGATGTCCTGACCCTACTATTAGAAGAGCAAGCACATGGAAGAGAAAGGTGTGTGCACAGCGAGTTGGAACCACAGGTCTAGTGTACCCTAACAGGCAGCATAAGTCTTTTTAAATTAAGTATGAGATTAATGTTTTAAATGAATAGGACTAAATCTCCAAACCTGGAAAGACAGTGTTAATAACTAAGGAGGTCAGTTATTGTTATACCCATAAGCAATGAAGTTTGACAAAGTGCCAAGCATAAAAAATATAAAACTTTTATACTTAATGCCTCTTGAGACTCAAACTGGTTACACATCCTTGTATCCCCTAGTACACTCTGTATATATTTAAACAGGGATTCTTTCTTACTCATCTCTCAATCCTTAAGTCTAGTGTACAATATAGTGCATGGGACATAGGAAGTACATGAGTGAGTGAATGAATGAGTGAAAATTTTAAGAACTACATAACTGTTTTCATTCTACTTTAGTCCATAGGCTCTTTCAATGAGAAAGTTAAGGTTATTTCTGTAAAATCTGTGTAACTTCAGCCCTACAGAGAACTTTCAATCCACTTCTTTTTCTGATCCACTCTCCTTCCCTCTCAAAAAAGATATAAAGAACCCTAGGAGAAGTAAGTCTTGCCCGTTTGTTACATGACTTTTGACCTATACTCCTTACAGGCTTTCTCAGCCTCTAGGATACTTTCCCTCTCATCTACATGCTTTGTTCCCATCATTCCACTCAGTTTACTCATCCACCATCTCTTCCTATTTCTTCATTGGAACCTTCATAACCTTCATAATTCTGCCCCTCTGGCCTTACCACTGACCAGCTCACTCTGTGTCTGAAGCCACTTCAGCATCACTGTTGGGAACAAGGGAGAAAGGAACAGGAGTCAATATTTCTCATCTTCTTGCCTCAAATATTTATACAAGTGGGAAAATGAAGGTAAAAAGATAAACAGCTAGAATCTTGCTCTATTTTATTTTTCTTAGCCTCCTGTGAGCCCATTTTCTCTGTATTTCAGTAGCATGGATATGCTTCATTGCACCACCTTTGTTCCCACCTACTTTACTACACTTTCTACTAATACCTCCAACTCCTTTTCTTGTTTTTGGGTAACTTGCTGGAAATAATTTTATCTGACATCAGTCTATATCAGATTTCTGTGAAATTTTACACAGATTATTTGCTGTTTCTAAAAATATCCAGAACTTCACTTCTTAGCCATTTTTTTTTAAGAGATTGAATTAAGTCCATTCTGGCATTAATTTTGTCTATGCCATATCCACTTCAGGACACAAGCAGCTATAGAGAAACTGAAATTGGAAGAAAAGAACCCTGTCCCTGCCCTGCTTCCTGGTTAGGAAGGAGCCAACCTTGGAGAATGGAGGCCAAAGCTTGCTTTGTGACAAGCTGAAAATATGCTCTTAAAAGCTGAGGCATAAACTGTGCCTTTGAAATGGCAAACAAGCTTGACTGGGACTTTGACTTATTTATAATAAGGAATAAATCAGTTGAAGAATTTCGCATTCCTTTTCATACTTAAACAGTACACCATAGAGAGCCATGAGACTTTCCAAAAATTCAGCGTACGTGGGAGAATTTAATAAATAGAAAAGAATTAAATGAACAAGAGGAAATAAATAAGCAGCAAAAATGTTTTTTAAATAGCTAACAATATTTTTTAAGTGTTTAAAGTGTAACTACTAAACCCCCGTGGCTGTGACAAATGAATCGGAATCAGAGGCCAGAGTACTAAAAATAATTATTCATTAACTTGCATCTGCTATGTGTTATTTCAGCAACTAAATTGTGTGATAATGACAGTGAATTCTAAACTTAAATATCTAATAATTCAGCAGTCATTCCTGTCCCATACTTGGAAAAAAAAAGAAAGAAAGAATATAGGAAAATCAGTTAAATGGTATCAAGACTAGTTATAGAATCTAATACACGATTTGAACTGGGCAGCAGGTTGCTCACTGACAGCAGTTTCTTTGGAAACAGACAAGAAGGTCTGAAACAGCCCAATATTATAAATCCTTGCTGCTTTTTCTAGGGCTTACCCTTTTTTTTCCTTTTCCATAAGTATAAAGCATAGAGTTGTTTACTCACTCCACCCCCC